ACAGCTGATTATGTTTGTGCGGAAAAATATGCGCAGTACCAGTTGTTGAAATAGCGTTGCGATGAGGGCGAGGTGACTCTAGCGGAAACAATGATTCGAGATGCATCTGGCATTGTAGGTGCTTAAATAACGTGGAGCTGTGGGATGCTAAATGCCCTCCAACCGGAGTTGGGCGGCGGATTACGTCGTGAAATCTGATTTTCGAACTGTCATTCGTTATTTAACATACTCGTCTGTACGAATAACTTATGACCTTTATTCCTACGGACTGAAATATATCCGCCGGTGTTAGAATTTTTTTTGCTTCACCCAACAAAGCGATACTGTTTTTCGCTCATGCATTGCGGGTGCTAAAATACTATAGCGCCGTAACCTGCTTAAACGGTCATCAGGGCTACATGAAGCAAGGGAGTGGTCGGATATGATGTGTAAATTCGCACAAATGACGGAAAAAAGTTGCTGTGCTTGGTAAGCGACATTCAAGTCAACAGAACGAGCTGTTCCGCAGTAAGCTTACTTAACTACCAGATACAACAAAACCGGATATCTCATCATTATCCGCTTAATTAGCTGGTGAATATTACAAACAGTTTAAATCACACTGAAAAAGAAAAACGTGATAAGGACTATCATTTTAAGATACCCAATTCAAAGAACTGAATCTATCGCAGTTATAGCAATTACCTAATCCGGTAACGCACAAACGTTAGATATAAAGCGTATTGTATAGTAAAAGGCGGAGTTACTGGTAAGGTGAATAACGAACACGTGTCGTTCGCTGAATTAGCATAATATTATGGCATCAAACAACTTGCTTACAGATATCTGAAGAATCATCTAAGCAGAGCAAGAATCAGTGGTATTTTAGGGTAGTACACATATTATTGATCAAATATGACTGTATAAGTACTTCCATATTAAAAGTTACGTAGTAGCGAAACGTGAGAACTTCTTTTACAGAGCGACGCGGGGTTAGTTCGTACTCTCACACCTCCAGAAGCAAAGAGTAGCGCCACAGCCGTGTAACCATTTAAAACGAAGCATTTTTGTTCGCTTTACTTACCGTAATTTCGTATCAGTATATTGAGGTATATTTTCCGCTGCAGTTCAGACAAACCATGGTAAATGACCTGTTCCATTTTTACTGGCAAATTGAACGAGCTGGAACTTTTGGTCCTCCTGAGCATGTACGTTTCAAGCAGATGC